GTACCGCACAGCCCCTTTTCCATGTCCTCCCCGCTCCCTGGTGGCAGAGGCCCCGTTGGTAAAGCAACAATGGAGAAGTGGGGAAGATAAAAGAGCTGTGAAAACTGCCCCAGAGAAGCTACAGGAGGCTTTGCTGGAATCAGGTTTTGCATCCCCGAATCGGTGCTCCATTTGTTGGGTCAGGGACCATGCTTATTGGTTCAAGAACTGACAGAAGAGGTGTCTACAGAATGCTTGTTGGGAGGATAAATAAACAGCTAAAGGAAATTTTATCTGAGCCTGAAAACTGCCTGCACCAGCACAAAATTAAAGCCCCAGCACCCTCAGGCTAGGCCTGCTGGAAAAATTCCTGTGTGTCAGCTCTGGGAAGACGTAGGCCAGATGAGGCACATCCTGACCAATGCAGGAATTGGCCCTGCTCTTCTGCTGGCCCCTCTTCCACTGTGATGCTAAAAATCCCATCGAAGCCAGTCATCCAAGCAGCGGGAAGTAAGAGGGTCAACGTTTGCATAGCCATTTGGAGGTTTCCTGGAAACCTGGCTCTCTCCCCACCGTCGCCCCATGAGCACAGTAGTGACGAGAAATCAGAAATCAGAAAGCCTCAAGTGTGAAACCTCAGTCTTCTTATTAGCTGTGAGACTTTGGGGAAATTACTTAACCTCTCTGAACCTCAATTTCCTCAAACTGTAAAATGGGGCTAATGTTGGGTGACACTCAGCATAATGGCAGGAATAGAGTTAGTGCTCAATAAATGCTGATCTCATCGGCCCCACAGCCCATTCCACCATTCCCTTCTTTCTCTTCCTACCCACAACCCAACTTCATCATTGCCTATGAACAGCCACAGGATAGAACTCGGGACAGTTCGTGACAGCTCTGGACAGCCCAGAGGTTATTTACAAGCCTAAGAGCAACCAATGCGGCCTGCCCAACTGCCCAGCTGTTTGTAAAGAACAGATAAGCTGGTGGTGCCCATAAGCCACATAGCTTTCTAGGAATGACAGGGGCATGGATTTACAAAGTCACTCTTGACCCTTTAAAATAACACAACTATTTTTTGCTCCCACCACATCTCAAGTGGTACCCAGATTGTGAGGCCTTCCATCCGGTGAGTAGTGTCACCTGGAGAGGTGGTGACTGATTTAGGGCCCCGGTTTAGGGCTGAACCAGGGTCAGCCACTTCTTCGTGTGTTGGTCCCCAAAGGGATTGGACCAGATGATCGTGAAAGAACCTTCTGATGTTAAGATGTAGAGTTTCGATGGTTCCATGATAGAGAGGGATCACAGAAAACTAAGATCCACAAAGCTTAACCTCCCGGAGGACAATCGCAATGCTGTAATGTCAAGTTAATGCTAACACAGCATAGTTTGACGTGAGTGTGACAGCATAGGTAGGTCGGGGGCCTGGGGGCTTCTCAAACTCATTCTCACACCAGATGTGGCATCAGGAACGGCCTGAAGGGAGGCTAAGGGATCCTGGCCTCTCCCCAGCTCTGACGATGCCTCCACAGTGAAGAAGAGACAGGGAGCCCCTGACTTTGCACCTTCACTGGCTAATCCCACATTGGGGGGCAGGGGAGGAGGAAGACCCCAACACCTCCTACCACTGCTGCAGACTCCTAACAAGCTTCAGTTCTCACCTGCGCCGCTGCCCCAAACCACCCCTGAGAGCCATTAGGTGGCAGCTGTGCTTCACCTGCAAAAGGTCTTCCTTTGCCAATGTTTGTCACAAGGTTTTGCATATCGTTTGCATAAATTTGCAGGTAGGATTCAAAAGGTTCTGATTCCAGTTACACAAGACAAAACACACTGACTGCACTTGCAGTGGAAGAAGGTTTTCAGGAGAGCACGCTGGAGTCGCTTCCCGGGGCCGGGAGAGGTGGTCGAACTATGTGCGGCTGCGGTGCCCAGAGAGGGCCTTCCCCACGATCCAGGGAATCAGAGCTTTTCCAGCGTTGGCTTGAAATCACGGCTAATAGACAGAAAAGCGCTCTTCCCAACCCCAGGGGAAGACTGGGGAGGTGGGCAGGCGCACAAGGCCCACTGATTCTATCCAAGAGGGGGCATGGAAGGCCAGCGGCCAGCCCACGCCTGGAGCTGCTCCCTCCCGGGAAAGGAAAACAGAATCCTGAGATGCCAAGCTCACTATTCCAAAGGGAAAGGGAAAACTTGGAAATGGCGCCACGCAAAAACCTGCCTTTCAGGAGAACCGGTCTGTTTCTGAACAGATAGCTTGCAAGACGGCCGGCCGTGTGTCTCCCCAGGGGCCTCCTGCACCCTGGCAGTGTCGATGAACAGCTGATCCTCGCGAGTGTGGGACAAAAGCAAGACTAGGACTTGCTTTTATTTTTGTTCAGGAACACAAAGTCACCACCACCAGCCGCTAAAGGAATATAAACCACCTCTTGCTTGTTTAAAGCAGTGAAAGAACAAAATTACATAGGCAAGGAGGGGCTTTTGTGTCTCCAGCCATGACTTCTGGTTAAATGCTCGAGACAAACTCAGGCTTGGCTTTTCCTTCTGCTCTGTGTCCACTCTACCTGATGGAAGATGCAGGTTTGCTGAGCGTCAGGTGATTGCATAAAGGGCTCTTCCCCCACACCCTTCACTTGTAATGTGCACTCAGTGAGCGCTAATAAAAGCCTCGCAGGAACCTGACCACTCGCCTCATCGCCTACCCACGCTTTTCTCTCTCCCCTTCCCTTCCTGCCCTCTCCTCTCTTCCTCTTTTAAATACTCAGCACCTCAAAACGCTCTGTGGAAAAGGCCCGGGCACAGGTCCTGCTGTGACTGGTGTTGCTTTCTCCCGGGCAGATCCTCAGCCTTGGCATCATACCCCTCGAAGCTGACTGAGACCCGGCTCACCCACTTTCAGTTTTGCACTCCAAATACTGAGTGTCTGGTAACTTACCCAGAAGTTCTTAGATTTCCAGCTACTCAAGCCAGGTTCTGATTTCCAAAATAATGCCAAATCTAGAACAGTTTGGGGAATGAGGGGATCTGACTGAGGGATGGGAGTTGGAACAGCTGCGGCACCATCAGCCTCACATAAACAGAAACGAATTACTCAGCCAAACAAGAGAAGAGCAAGGCCCAGCTGGAAAAGCACATGGATGAGTCTGCAAACCAAAAACGTACCGGAGACAGGCCTCAATCAATGGAGAAGTTTATTTGTCAAGGCTAAGGACGCACCCAGGAGACAGGTCTGTGCCTCTCTCCCAAGATGATGTTGAGGCCTTCGGTCAAGGGCAAAAGCTGGCTGGAGGGGGCAGAGGGAGGAGGGTGTGGTCACATGACTGATTGCCCCACGCTGCAGGAGAAAAGGAGCAGGTGGGAACGGTCAGTTACCTGTTTATCTCGTGCTCAGTAAATCGGTACTTTCCATGAGGTAAGGTGCACACAGAGCAGTCACTGGTGGAGATGCTGACCCTCTCGTCTGTCGCTGTCTGCTTAGGGGCAAAGGGAAAGGCAGCTTCTTGCAGGACTCAGCTTGCAGCTTAACTTTTTCTTCTTGGTTGAGTGAATTGTGGTCTCGAGTTTTTATCTTCCTTTCACAAGTGCTGACCCAGTGAGGCCAATCGTGTGTGATCAGGAGCCCCTGAATGACTTGGTGGAAAGCAGGGTCCGACCCCCTGCCCAGGACAATTGGGAAAGCCTTGCTGGCCGGACGGAGGGGAAGGAGGCTCTCGGAGACTGCCCCAGAGGGGAGTGGCTCTCCACTGGCCACAGCGATGGCTGGAAAACAGCGAGCCCCGGGAAAACACGAAGGTCCCAAAGCCGGGTAAAGTAGACACTGAGTTTATTATTTGCCAGACAAGGGGAGGCTTCCATTTCATTATGAAAGGTCAGGAGTGCTCTCTGAGCTGAAGGTGAACAGACAGCTGTGGTGTAGAAAACAGGAAGTTTTGTCCACAGTTCTGATTGGCGGAAAAAGCAAATTGTAAACCCTCTCAGGACCGCTGCTGTTCCGATTTGTGTCGCAGAAGCAGGAGTACAGTTCCTGCAAGACCCTGGCAGGTCTGGTCTGGGCTGCATGGCCCCGGGGGCTGCTATCTGAGCCTCTTCTCATGGGGGAGGGGTTTCTCTGGCATCCACATAGGTTAAGAGGGAGGAGCCCCGGAGCCTTGCGCCCATCAACCCCTCTCATCCTCGCTGCCTGTGACAGATGGACAAGCAGCTCTCCTGGCTGCAGAGACGAGGTGACCACAGGAGAGCCGGCAGAGGATGCTGTTACCAGGGCGCTAGGACAGCCAGCACACAGGCAGACGGAGGCACGCAGCCTGAGTCCCAGTCAGCTGGAGGACGTGTGGTTAAAATGCTGCTGAATGGGGAAATCGTCCCGGGCCCAGAAGCTGAGGTCCCTGTGGGTGGGGCCGTGGGGAGGGTGCGACCCAGGCCATGCCCAGGCTTGTGATTTCTGACCTCGCCCCAGTGCATTTATGGGTAAACTGAGGCTGGGAGGGACGCCTCTCCCTGTACAGGGAGGTGTCCGTGGTGAGGGGCTGTGCCCACCCACTGCCGAGAGAGTAGCACCTGTGCTTTTGTGAACAGCAATATAAATACAGTTCCCTTCAGATAAAACACAATAAATAGGTGGCGGCAATGGTGGGACGGCACCACACTGGCTCAGGCGGCCGGGCGCACACTGCAGGAGCAGGGACACAAGCCGAGGTCCTGTTGTTTGAGGTAAAAGTTTATAGAAACGGTTCCTTGACAGTGAAATCCTGCTTGACACTCAGATGGGCGAGTGCTGGCAGGGGCTCTGGACCTCCACCTGTAAGACCCAGACTGTCACTGGAGCTGTGGCTCAGAAGGACTCAGAGGTGGATGGATGTCCCTGCCCGAACTAGGGCTGCAGATGGCCCCACCTGCACCCTGCCTGATGCCTAGGCCTGGGCTGCCCTAGGCTCGGCCCACCTGGATGTCCAGGGCCACTTGGGGGGAGGTGCTGGGGTCCCGCCCCGCCTGGCCACCCCAGTTGCTCCTGGATAGCCGCGGCCTCAGCGCGTCCTCAGCCGCAGGACCCTGGAGAGGGGCTCCTTGGCGCTGGAGTAGATGAGGTAGGCGCCGGCCGTGGTGCTGAAGGCCTCCCAGTCCCTGCAGCCGACGGTGGGGAGGCTGTGCACCGCCACGAAGCCCTCGTAGCCCTGCCACCTGTGGGGCAGACAGCGGCAGCCAGGTCAACCTGGGCTCTGCGGGGTGGCTCTTCTTCCCGGGCTCCCACCCGCGCTGTCAGGGACCCAGCAGCTCTGGGTCACATCCAAGCCTCTTCCATCCCCCACTGGCACGGCGTGGAGAGATTGATTCTGGGCCACGAGGAGAGAGAGATTGATTCTGGGCCACGAGGGCCTTCTCATCTTGCAAAGCAGGAGGCTGAGGCCCAGAAGAGGAAAGATTCCAGATCTCACCAAGATCCCAGCGCTACCTCCTATCCACCCAAGATCCTGCCCCCAGGGACCCCCACACATGTAGTTCTGAGGGTCGGCCTCAATCATGAGGTACGTGACTTTCCCCAGGTCCCCCTCAAACACACGCAGGCCACCACGAAGGCGGGAGCCCCTCTGTCCTCAGACACAGGAGCCCAGCTCTCTGCCCGCTGCTCTGCAGCCCCACATCAGGGGCTGCCCCAGGCCCTCATTCTCACTCTGGGCAGCCGCTGGTCACCAGGGTTTGCCTTCAAAAGGACTCGTTTATCCCAGGGGCTCCCATTTCCGAGGCGTGGAGTCCCCAAGGCAGGGCGCCGACATCAAAGGGCACGAGTTGTTTAAATTTAATTAAATATTAAATATCAAAGTATGAAAATAAATTCTTCCATACTGCTTTCTGGAGAAGCCGTGGTGGCTCCTGTTCTCATGGGAAAGAGCAGGGTGGGATCCCCCAGGATCCCCCACCCACTCCACTACCCATCTTTAAAATGCCTCCAAACAAATGGGGGAGAACCTGTCAGGGTTTTGCTTTGAGGACAAATCACTTACAATGTTTATTCACACTGTTCATCTTTTCTTCTAAAAATTCCTATTCATATCTTTTTTTTTTTTTTTTTTTTTTTTTGAGACAGAGTCTTGCTGTATCTCCCAGGCTGGAGTGCAGCGGAGCTATCTCGGCTCACTGCAAGCTCCGCCTCCCGGGTTCACGCCATTCTCCTGCTTCAGCCTCCCCGAGTAGCTGGGACTACAGGCGCCTGCCACCATGCCCAGCTAATTTTTTGTATTTTTAGTAGAGACAGGGTTTTACTGTGTTAGCCAGGATGGTCTCGATCTCCTGATCTCATGATCCACCTGCCTTGACCTCCCAAAATGCTGGGATTACAGGTGTAAGCCACCACGCCCAGCCAATTCCTATTCATATCATTTGTCCATTTTTCCAAATTTAAAAACACATCTTTTATTAGTTTGTAAGCGTTTGTTTTCTGTCGTATGTGTGGCAAAGAGTTTGTCTTTTGCTTTTGAATGGGATGTCTGTTTCTATAGAAAGCTTTTAATGCAGGTGGTCAGACCCAGTGCCTTTCCTTCCAGGCTTGTCTTCTTCATAGAACCCTGAGGTTATGCAACTGCCCTTAGCTTTTCTTCTTTTTCACATTTGGACTTTTAATCCATTTAACATTTATTTTTGTGTACAATGTGAAGTGGAGTAAGCTTTGTTTTCTTCCAGATTACATGAAGCTAATCTCCCGAATCATATGGAATTATCAAGTAAAGTCCATCCTTTTCTCATTACCTTCAAATATAGTATTTATGGCCAGGCGGGGTGGCTCACACCTGTAATCTCAGTATTTTGGGAGGCTGAGACGGGTAGATCACTTGAGGTTAGGAGTTCGAGAACAGCCTGGCCAACATAGAGAAACTCCATCTCTATTAAAAATACAAAAATTAGCCAGGCATGGGTCAGGCACGGTGGCTCACGCCTGTAATCCCAGCACTTTGGGAGGCTGAGATGGGCAGATCACAAGGTCAGGAGATTGAGACCATCCTGGCTAACACGGTGAAACCCCATCTCTACTAAAAATACAAAAATGTAGCTAGGCATGGTGGCAGGTGCCTGTAGTCCCAGATACTCGGGAGGCTGAGGCAGGAGAATGGTGTGAACCCAGGAGGCGGAGTTGTAGTGAGCCAAGACTGCACCACTGCACTCCAGCCTGGGTGACAAAGCAAGACTCCATCTCAAAAAAAGAAAAAAAATTAGCCAGGCATGGTGGCCCATGCCTGTGGTCCCAGCTACTAGGGAGGCTGAGGTGCGACGATTGCTTGAGCCTGGGAATTTCAGCCTGCAATGAGCCGAGATTATGCCACTGAACTTCAGCCTGGGCCACAGAGTGAGACCCTGTTCCCCCCCAAAAAATAAATAAATAAAAAGGAGATATTATTAAAAAGTTACCAGGCCCAGATGGTTTTATAACCGAATTTAACCCAGCTGTCAGAAATGAGAGAAAAATCCTATTCTTCAGACTATTCCAGTCCACAGGTGCAGTCAGAAAGCCCTGCAGTGTCCACAGGTGCAATTAGAAAACCCTGCAGTGTATATTTACCATTAGGCTTCATTTTAAACTGGATAAAGTTAAGTCCCCGAAAGAAAACCACTGAGCAATCTCATTTCCTATTATAGATGCTAAAAGCTTAAAGATAGGCAATTGGAAGCCAGTGGCTTATTAAATAATTCTGCATCATCACCAAGCAGCATCGGGTCTAAGAACGCGAGGAGATCTCTCACTATAAATCATGACATCAGCAGGAAACGTGGCGGACCGCATCACGCACTCACAGATGCCAAAGGAGACCCCAGCCCTGACCCGGACGGCCCACAGCCCATCGAACGGCCATGCTCAGATGTGCTCGTTAAATTAGAGTAAGGCAGGACAGCTGCCGCTTCTGCCGCCATCCAAAATTGTTCTGGAAGCTTTATCTAGGGAAGCAAGCTAAATAATCAATTAGAACACTAGAAATCAAGGGGAAATGTTCTTTATTCTCAGAGGTATATTCCTAAGTCTCCTGAGAATCTTTTTAAGAGAAGCTATTAGAACTGATAGTTTGGTTTGGTGGCTAGACATAAAAAATGATTGTTATGAGCAGCTGCAAATGAAAATTTAAAAAAAAAAAAAAAAGCCAACCCCGTTCGTTAAACGTACAATACTTGGAAAACTCCTAGAAATAAATGTGTTGAGAACACCACAGTGTCTATGAGCTAAAAATTAAATATCAACGACTCCCACGTCAGGATGTCCACACACCGCATCCCTGCCGGGATCCAAAGGCAGAAGCGCCAGCACTCGTGGGTTGTGGCTACACCTGGGGCAGCGGCTGCTCAGACCCCACACAGGTGCAGCCAGCAACGGGCTGTCCACTGGGCCCAGCCAGTCTCGGGAAATGACACCTCACTTGGGACTCGCTGTGAGCCAGTGGCACCTGCGAGAGGAGGTGAGCCCCCCAAGGGGAAGCAAGGCGCTGGGAGGAAGCCGGCCTCAGTGAGCCCACAAGGGGAAGGAAGGCGCTGGGGGGAAGCCGGCCTCGGTGAGCCCACAAGGGGAAGCAAGGCGCTGGGAGGAAGCCAGCCTCGGTGAGCCCCCAAGGGGAAGGAAGGTGCGGGGAGGAAGCTGGCCTCGGCAGCTCATTACCTGTAAATAATACTGTTCACTGAGAAGGTGCGCCCATCAAAGGAGTTAGCGACGACCAGGAAGTAATCTTCTCCCACCGAGAAAAACTCCCAGTCCAGAGCACTGCGGGAACAAGTGGGCGGATATTAGGACACGATAGACATCGCCGAAACTGGGGGGTTGGCCCGAAGCCACCTCCAAAATTCACGGAGGAGGAGCCGGGGCCAAGGTGGGGAATGACTTTCTCACAGTCACATATGTGTTGGTGTATTCCAGGAAAATGTAAATTAGTTGTTTGCTTAAAAAACATTTCAAATTTTATTTTATTTTATTTTATTTATTTTTGAGATGGAGCCTCACTCTGTTACCCAGGCTGGAGTGCAGTGGCGAGATCTCAGCTCACGGCAACCTCCACCTCCCAGATTCAAGCGATTCTCCTGCCTCAGCCTCCCCAGTAGCTGGGATTACAAGTGTGCGGCACCACACCTGGCTAAGTTTTGTATTTTTAGGAGAGATGGGGTTTCACCATGTTGGCCAGGCTGGTCTTGAACTCCTGACCTCAAGTCAGGCCCACCTCGGCCTCCCAAAGTGCTGGGATTACAGGTATGAGCCACCATGTCTAGCCTCAAGTTTTAAATTGTGGTAAAATATATATAACATAACATTTCCCACCTCAACCATCTTTAAGTGCACAGATCAGGGACATTAAGCACGTTCACACTGCTGTGTGGCCGCCAGCACCATCCACCTCCAGAACGCTTTCATCCTGCAAAACTGAGGCTCTGCACCCCGTAAACATCGCCCCCCACCCCTTCCCCAGCCCCGGCACCCACCACGCCACTTTCTGTCTTTATGAATTTGACCACTCTAGGGACCTCATATAAATGGAATCGCACGGTATTTGTCCTTTTGTGCCTTAGCTGAGACTCCAGTGACTCAAGGTTCATCCATGTTGTAGTGCGTGTCAGAATCTCCTTCCTTTTTAAGGCCAAGTAATGCTCCTCTGTGTGAATGGACACGTTGTGTTTATCCATCCGCTGATGAACACTTAGGGAATTTCCTCCATGTGGCTACTGTGAATAATGGTGCTATGTACACTGGGGTACAAAAGTACACTTTTAAGAGGTTGAATCAATCAGAGAAGAAGTCTCAGGCTCCTGGCACCTGCTGGAGGCAGGAGCTTGGTTTCCCACTCTGGACACTGCGCAGAAATGGAATCGCAGTGCTGTGGTCTCTGTGCCTGGCTGCTTCTCTCAGCACTGTGTCCTCAGCTGGGAGGTCAGCAGCCATGAGGTCACTCCAGGAAGGGCCTGCAGGACCTGCTGGTTCACAGATATTCTCCTACAAGCGGAAGTTGTTTCTTGTTGCAAACAAATTTGCTGTGTCCTGTCTTAGACAGGAGTCTCGCCTGAATTTGCAAAGGGTGCATCTGTGCTTGGGGACAGCTCAGTTTGTGGGGTCTGATAGGCGGCTCCCCTGGAACCTTTCCCCACCAGGAGCCCACCTGCTGACGTGTCAGCGTTAGCCCCACATCTGGAGATGAGGAAATGGAGGTTGAAGCCACGCACACGCAAGCATCTTACTGACATGCAGGCCAGGCCAGTGCCTCTGTGGGCAGCAGCCTCAGGGCTGTGGCCAGTTCGGACAGCAGAGGGGCCTCATCCCAGTGCTTCCCTGCAGGCAGTTGAGGGGCCGGCCTGCAGCAGGAGCTCAGACAGGACCCTGGGAGAGGGAGGGATCATGCAGGTGTCCAGCGACAGGAAGGGCGGGCAGAGTCCATGGGGCCTTGGGCTCCTCACTCCTTTGGTCAGTCAGGGTGACATCTGGAGCCACCTCCATTAATGGCGAGTTATGATTTGGTTCCCATGGAGCCCGTGCCAGCTCGTCCTCCTCCCTCGTCACTGGGAGGAGGACGAGGACGCCTGTGATCACATGCTCTGGTCTGGAAGCACGGCCGCGGGCTCCGAGTCAGCGTGAATCCGCGGGGTTACTCCTCAATCGGATCTGAGCTCTAAAACCCAGACCCGAGGAAGACAAGCGGCCACGCTGGATGTACCAGTGGTGGAAGATCCTGTCTGGCTGCTCCAAGGCTCACATCAGAAGCTGGCTTCGGTTTCACCACAAAATAAGGCATCTAGTGCCCGATTCTGCCTCCAAAGCAGCCCTGGGTCACACTCGCTGTAGGACAGATGTTATTCTTCAGAATCATGCCCTCTGGCAAATGCCCATCATCAGACAAATGGGCGGATGGAGCGTGACTCAGCCACGAGAAGGGGGACGCTCGGACCCACGCGGCCACACCACCAACCCGGACACGGTGCTGCAAGAAAAAGCCAGGCACAGAGGCCACAGCTCTGCAATTCCATTTCTGTGCATGTCCAGAACGGGAAATCACAGAGACAGGAAGTGAGCCCGGGGGTGCCCGGTGGGGAGGGAGGGGCTGGCAAAGGGTGTGGGGGCTCCTTCTGAGGGGAGGAAAATGTTCCAGAATTGACTGCAGCCATGGCTGCACGTATTTGTGGATTTAACAGAACCACTGAATTGTAGAAAGCAAACACAGCAGACCGTTTGAAGGCAGTCAGAGCCAAGGTCACACACACAAGCCACGAAACCCCTCAGCACCCTGGAAAGGGTTTTGGACTTGGTGAGGCCACAGCACATCTCCCAGAAGTGCAGGGAACTCCCCATTCTGAGTAGAAGGGCCAGGAGTTTGACTTTTGTGTGCTGTTTTGATGGTAATTATTAAACATTACCTCAATTAATTAGTAAATACCTTCTGTGTTTTATAATTTAGTTCATAAACTGTCCACACCACTGTCCAGTGGTGACACGGCCGTAAGTCACAAGTGTGTAGCTGCGTCCCGTCAGCTTTCGCAGCTTTCAAATACTGAGGCGTCTGCCTCATCCGTTTCTAGACTGGCATCGTCTCCACGACTAATTTTTAATCACAGTTCATTCTCCAATTTGTCTTATTCTACACGTTGTTCTAAAAACCCTCATCTATGTTTTGTTCTCAGCGTTGACATTGGATGGGGTGGATTCATGCTGGCGACACACAATTGCCGCCGCCTCCCAGTGCCTGTTTCTCCTGCCATGGCTGCCAGGCCATGCAGGGGCCACAGAACCCACTCACCCCAGAATCCCCAGTGCCCCCGGCAGGCACCGCTGCTGGCTCTTTTTCTTTATTCTGAGAGTTCTTTTTTTTTAATTTTTAAAAATAAAATAAGTAAGATACGAGTAAGTTAACATTGTCGTCCTGTGTAAAATCAGCAGTTCAGAAGTAACAGTGCAAACAGGAAAGTGCTTCCTGGCCTGCCTGCACACCCCTGCAGCCCGCCTGGTCCTGGGGTGACTGCTGACGGTGAGGCACTCTCTTCCAGAGTCTTCTCTGCACTTCCGTGGGTGCGCACAGCTAAGCAGCACACAGCAGCTGGGCTCGCTCCTCCGTACTCGGGTCATGAGATTTCGCTGCACCTCACCCAGCCCTTTCCACAGAGCAGTTCATCTTGGAGACTTTCCTCCTTGAAGGGTCTAAAGGTATGCGTTGTTGTGTCTCTCAAGCTGAGATTAGAGCCCAGTGCCCAGGAGGGTAGGTGAATCGTTACTGAATGAAATAGGAGTGCATGAAACCCGAGGAAACCTGGGAAAGCCGCCAGCTCCATCCCAGGGTGGGCACGGGCCGGATTCCAGCTCCAAGCTTGACCCATGGCCCTTGGCTCTGGGATCTGAGTAATACAGATTCGATTGCAGGTTTATTCACAGATTTCTGAATCCCACCCCAGAGGAAGCCCCATGCTGGTCAGGACGGTTACAGATTCTCAGTGCCTGCTGTCCAAAATGTGGTGCCCACGCAACCTCCTGTGGCCCCGCAGAGCGTGTCAGTCTGGAACCATCACTTTCTTGTACATACACACCCACCCTCCATGTTCCCTGGACCGCACGTCTGTCTCAACATGCCAGTCTCCGTGTCCTGGTGTTGTCGGGGAGGATGCAACATCAGGGAAAGGGAGTAATCGTGTCTGGTGGCAGCTGGCACCAGCAGGCTGTGGGCACTCGAAGCCTGCACCTCGCACCTGTCCCCGTGGGGCCTTGGCTGTCCCTCCACACGACGGGCAGGAAGCTCCCTCCTGCCTCCACTGCCCAGATGAAAGGAGGTGACGGGTGTGAAGGGGCAGAACTCTGCACACAGTGCCTGGCTCTGGGAACCAAACCTGTGGCTCAGGGCAGCACTGACTTCCCCAGGCCAGTCTTTCCACGGGAAGGGTGGTGAGGATGAGCCTAACGGAGATTCTGGCATGGTGGACCTCCCAGAGGTCAGCCCACCCTCCCATCGGCCTGCGGTGACACATACCTGCAGGTGAGGATGTCCTGGAACTTGACAAAGGCCTGCGCGGTCACGTTCAGCTCGTAGATGACTGAGTTGATGACGTAGGAATCATTCTGGACTTGCATCTCCACATCGTAGCTGTGACTGTTCGCCACAGCGAGGAAGATCCTCTCCCCGATGTGGAAGACCTCCCAGTCCGCAGCACCGAATGT